AGCGTGCTTTGAGCGCTGCCTCTCGCCCCTCCGGGGCCGCCTGGAGCAGCGCATCCAGCGCTGCCCCTGCCGCGCTCCGCTAACCCCCGTGCCCTGCTCAGGCGCTCGCAGCAGCCAACGGGGTCTCCCTTCTCGCTGGCTTTGTGCCAGTGGGACGTGCCTCTGCCGCGCAGAGCTGGCTCTGGCGTCCTCGGGGGAGAGTTGGGGGAGGCGTATCTGCTTTAGGTTGCAGGGGGGACGTCTCCGGCCTGTAAAACAGTAAAAATCCCATTGCTCATCCTGCTCTGACAGCTGCCCGTGACCGTGTCGCCCTGAGCCCCTGCTGTTCCTTCATAGCTGCGCCCCGTCCGGGCTCCACAAAGGTCTGACAAACACTGGCAGTGTTTTAGGCAGCTGCTCGAGCCGCGGCCAGGCAGGAGAGGGGGCCGGGCAGCCCTGAGCCCACCTGTCCCTGCACACAGACGTCCCTCTATCTCCTAAGCGTTTTTGTCATGGCTGTGGGTCCCGTGGTCAAATTACAGACTTAACTGCTGCCTCTGCCCGCAGCTCAGGAGCTCTGGTTAATCTGATGGCCTCTAATCTTTCTCTTTGTCCGTTCTGTTGCCATTTGTCATCCCAGCCAGCTTGCTTTAAGAGCAAGTCATTTCCGCTGAGAACCCAACGCCGGGACAGTCCCGCTTGGTTCCTAGCGTGGCCGTGGCTGTGGGAGCAGGGCCGTCCCAGCGCAGCCTGCTGGAGGGCCCCATCCCTTCCTCGTTGCGTTGTCCCCTCTGGTTTCTCATTCTGAAGCAGCAGAGAGGTCACGAGGACAACTAAAGAGCTTTGGCAAAGGCCGTGCTAGCATCTTTCTAGTGGCAGGGAGCAGAGAGGTGGTGGATCCTCTGTTTCTTTCATCCGAGCTTCGTTAGGGTCCTTCCTCCCTCTGAAACTTTCATGCTCTTCCCAGCTGTAGGTAGCTTGGCTGTGTCTGGGGTCCCCATGCATCTTCACGCGTCATGTTCAATACTGTACTTACTCACGGGAAGGAAAGTGCCTTTACCCCTGCAGCTCAGATGAGGAACCGAGGGACTAAGCGACTCGTCTGGGATTGCATGTGGCAGAGTGAGGGTCTGGGGAGAGCCCAGCCTTCCCAAGCCTTGAGCTGGGAGTCGTCACCTACGCTGTTTTCTGAGGACTGATGATGTTTGTGCCTCCTGCCTCAGTTTCCCCACCCATAAGAGTAAAGAGTGCTGCTCTTCTAGTAGAGCGCTGTGAGGTCCAGGACTGACCTGCCCAGTCCTTTCAGCGGTGAGGTGGGAGGACTCCGTCCAAGCTAAGTATCTTTAGTCCTCAGCTCGTATTTGGTGTCTCGGAGGCCTGCTGCTCCAGGCTGCTGCTAATCTGTTTTGGGGCCTTAGAAAGCAACAAAGGCTTATCTGAGCCGCTTGCCGAAAATAGCAGTGAGCGCGGGGAGGCCGTCTGGGTGCGAGGCCCTGCCGGCAGCCAGCTGGTGGGATCCTGCTTTGCTCTTTGCTGCGGGTGTGTAAAAGGCTCCCTTTGTTCCCCGCCAGCCCACACACTGCCACCGCATTCCTCCTCCTCTTGTTCCCAGATATTTAGGGAGGCTCTCGGTGTTTAATCGCTGGAGAACCTTGGGGGGGGATTTGAGTGCGAGCTGTAAATCCCAGCTCTTGCCCCAGTAGGGCACCGGGAGCTCCTGGTCGCCGCCAAGCCTTCCTGTTAACAGCGCGTATCGGCTGTGATTTCAGGCAGACGAGTGGGAGTCGGAGGAGCTGAAGGGCTGGAATGGCTCTTGCTGGGGCATGGAAGGCGCCGAGCCAAAGCTCACTCAATCCAAATGCTTTGGATCGGGATTCGGTGTCTACTGGAGACCTGAATTGAACGGCGCG